ATACAAAGGTTCTTTAGAATAAGGACCTGTTTAGATTAGAGCATCTGCCTGAGAGGGTGGTGGTTCGATCTGCAGTTGATGCATTTGGTGTTGTGACCAGTAAGCGTGCGCCTTCAGAACACGGTCCAGAAGATCCTGTGGCACCGGCTCTCCTCTCCGCTGCTGTGGAGATATCCTCGCCGTGTGTACTAGTGTCTTCCATTTATCCTACATAGGCAGAGGCTCAATACCAACGACAACGATGGTAATATTCCAAACTGTAAAATCATGGTTGTTACTTACCTTGAGATCGACATAGGTACGGTGATCTGCATCCTCAAAAGCATGAACCTTAACATCTCTCCACCTGCGGTTTCCAAAATTATACAAAACAACTTGTCATTCAAAGAAATGCGAGGAGAAGAATGCTATTCTTTGTTTTTTTGTGTTTTTACCTTCCGGTTCCGAGCTTTTCAACAGCTTGGACCAGTGCTTCTACTTCAGTAACTGAGAAAGGTCGACGAATTCTACGATGAGCAGCTTGATGCTGCTCAGTCCTTTTAAATTTACGGTGAGTAGTCTGAGTAGCCAACACTGCTGCTGACGCAATGGGAACCAAAGCTCTACAATCATCTGCTGGGGATGGTGCTGAGTCATGATTAGAATCCAACACATTGTCGCGGCTTAAGGGCAAATCATCACAGGCATACTCTGACAGGTAACTGGCAGAGAGAAAACAAAGACCTTAAGCCTCAAAAGATTGAACTTTTCTCGCTGTGGCATCTCAGATTTTGAAGAGAAGAGTGAACCTGGATAACAACGGTTGAGGGGTGGTTTCTAAGCTGGGCTCAAGGCTAAAACCAAGAGAGTCCAGGTGGGTGTTCTCCTCAGAGATTCCAGTCTGAAGAAGAGTTTTGCTATCGTCTCGGACTTTCTTCCCTTGAACCATCAGCCCAACTCCGAGTCCATCACCCAGTATGGTGGTCACTGCTTCCATCACCATACGCTGACAATCTCGACATAAAAAAAGGTAAGTTCTCGATCAGGATATTCAGCACAATAGGTTTGGGTATTGCACCTTCAAGGAGCCAACAGTAGCAGTCTCTGGAATCTCTATGAAAAGCTCAGGCACCCTAAAAGATTTGATCCGCAGCCTCACTAAAGAGAAAGGAAATACGTTATACACTTTTTCAACAAAACAATAGCCAACAAAGGATTCAAACTGAGACTCCATTAGTTACCATGATGGTCCCTTGACACAAAGGACGCATTTCGACTTTTCATGGAAGATGTTGTTTTGCTTCCTGCATATGAATTTGTGAAATCTTGATACAACAGCAAAAATTTACAATATACTAACAAGAGAATCAGAAAATGGCATTTATTTTAACCTTTATGTGCCTTTGCTTGCAAAGGATAATCATCAGAATTCGAGTCGGAAATATTGTCAAAATATTTCCTTTTCTTGACGGGATAATGCCTCTGATGATGGTGCAAGTAATAATTCCTCTTTGAGCAATACCATGGCTTAGCATCTACAAGTACCAACATGA